TGGCCGGCTACCAGATGACTTTTGACTCGGCCAAATCAAAGATGACTCAGAGTAACTTTGCAGTCGGTTACAAGACCGGAGACTTCCAGCTCCACACTAATGTGTATGTTTTAGGATCAACACATATTCAAACAAGATGGGTAAATTAACTGAAAGTGATGTAGCTCACGTTTTGCTTTTTCCCCTTAGAAATGATGGTTCAGAGTTCGGGGGATCCATTTACCAGAAGGTGAACGACGAACTGGAGACTGCTGTGAATCTTGCCTGGACAGCAGGCAGCAACGGCACACGCTTTGGAATTGCTGCCAAATACCAGTTAGACTCGAGTGCCTCCATATCAGTAAGTGTCTTCTTCTGTTTTTACCTCTCCCAAGGAAGTTATGTTTTCCCCCGTGTCTGCCAGCGGGCTGTCTGAAAAATGTGTTAACAACAGTTCCATGAAATTTTGTAAGACAGTAGGCCATGAGCCAATGAACAAGGGATTGGTGTTTGCAAGGTTTTTTTTCTCCAAATCTCTGTATTGTTCTTTGCACAGAAATCAATAACAAACACAATTGGCATTAGTTTTAAAAGTGTTTTGGGGTTATCCATTGCAAACCCCACTCCAGCCCACTCCCACCCATTATCGTAGACCACACCGGTTCCTTGTCCCTCTCCAGGAGCCTCATTCACACACATGCATATCAGGACAGGGAAAAAACAAAACAAAAAAGGAACATACAATAAAAAATAAATAAAGAAAAAATAAAATAAAATTTAGATGATATAATAGTAAGAAAAATAAATAAATTCAGATAATATAAAATAACGTAAAAATAAATAAATAATAAAAATAAAATTCAGATAATGTAAAATAAATATAAATAAAAGGGAGGTTTTTGCTCAGTTATTTTTGGATTTCTTGGTTTGTGAGAATTTAAAAAAATGTTTAGATAGTAAGACTGCATCCTATGTAAAAAAAAAAAAAAAAAATTGCAATTGCAATATGAGTTACAGTTTTAGTGGGAATGGTAATTTTTACATTTCATTTTCACTTGGAAAAAAAAAAGTTGATGTGATTTTTGCTGGGGTCTGTACCAAACAAGCATGTTCCCTTACGTCATGAAAATTATTTGGCGACTACAGTGATTCTGCATTTTCATTTTTAAGTACAGCTTCTCTTATTTGGATATTGCACTTGGCCATATTGTGAATTGGATAACATTTTGATTAATTGTGCTGCCTATCCTATCTGCAGCCAGATAGGACATTTTTGAACATTCCACTTTTTCTCTCAACTGTCGTTTGCTTCTCAAATTTGAAGTACATGCAGTTTGTGTAGCCTTGCAGGTGGTTCTGTATGTATTTTTATTTCTTTTGCAGCACTTTTTATTTTACGTCCCTATTAGTATGTTTATTGTATGCACCAAACACCAAGGTTAGTTCCTTGTAAATGGGAAAACCTGTGTGACAGTTAACCTCATTCTGAATCTGGTTCTGATTGTGACACTCTTAATCTTAGCTTAAAGCCCAGTTCAGACCAAAGATCATGACAGGATTAGTTGAATAACACAACTACTTGCAAAGCGCTGTTCTGCAACGCTCTAAAAACCTGGCAGTTCACACCAATACAATGAGACGGTGTATCAAGTTGATGCAACAACTCTCTGTAGCTCCGCTCTGTTTGCAGCTTTTCAGGCTTATTTTGTGGCTGAAAATAATTTGTAGCTTCTTAAAATATGAATGAGGATAGTGATAGTGAGATACTGGCTACAGTTGCATTTGTAGTAGTGATGAAATGGTGAAAAACACAAACAAAATGAGCATCAGATGGACTGTATTCATAATAAATACGGCAGAGTAATATGAGTAAGCAGCGCCAATTAGTTAGTCGATGCGAAGCGCAGCAAGCGAACATGCCGTCTGCAGTCATTTTGATTTGACCAGCGGACTTCACTACAAGCTGATTGGCTGTAGAAACAAGTGACAAGCCTTATGTTCTAAAACTAGCCTTTGGTGAATTGGCACGCTAAGTTGCAGGTGACATCATCAGCCAGCTTGAGTCGAACTCAGACAGCCAGTTCACTCTGCTGCAACTTTTTTCTGCAGTGTTCTAAAATGGTTTCCTCTTGTCACGAATCACTGGTCTGAACTGGGCTTAACAATTTGATGCTTTCTCTCCAGGCTAAGGTGAACAATGCCAGCTTGGTAGGAATTGGGTACACCCAGACTCTCCGGCCTGGTAAGAACCGTCCCTTGTCTAATATACAGTTAAAAATGCAATGGACCCTTTTTTTTTGTTAAATACAAATGTATTTTTTTCTATTTTTGTATCTCAGGTATGAAACTAACCCTCTCTGCACTGGTGGATGGGAAGAACATCAACGCTGGTGGTCACAAACTTGGTCTGGGCCTGGAGTTGGAGGCATGAGGATTTGCTCCGTTGTTCCATAACAAGAAGAGAAGTATGAGCTAAGTCTGATCCTGAGCGTTCCCGCCTGTTCAGCAACAGATATTTTAAAGAGATGAGGCCAAAACAAAAAAAAGGAGCCCAGTTCCCGAGCACTGTTAAAACGGAGACCTTTCTACCAGCCTCCTTTTATCGTGGTTCCAATAAGTAATCATGTTTCAATCACATGTATTTGTCAGTTACTCCTTCTGCCAATATATCCTCAATAGTGATAAACTCTCCTCTGGGTGCACCTTGTCCAGGAATGGTTTAAAAAAAACCTTGTTATTTTGCTGAAGTGTGATAATGTAGAATGTAAATCTGAGCCGTTAATTTGCACAGTAGAATATATCTTTATTTAAGCTCTTTCTCCTGTTTTATTTGCACATTTTCTTTGTATTTCAGTAGTGATGTTCTACCTGTTGGGAGGTTTACTCCCAACAAAATATGCTTATCAAGATCGAAGCCACTTTAGCAGCTGGTCTTCACTTATCTTCCTAGAGAGGCTTAATCACGCTGTATGACGACTTTGAGACCTCAGCTACCTTAAATACCTGCTTCTAAGTTGCAAGACAATGCTAAATGGGTTTATTTTTTTTCCTTCAGTGTGACTCGTGTGAAAGAATATCCGAGTGAATCATTCACTTTTCTTCCCATTTCTGAAGACTGTGACACTAATCAGGAAGCGATTTGTGTGTTGGCGTGTGTCTAACCTTTGCAATAAAGTCCTGAAGTCAATCTTCATCCTCTCCTGTTATTTGGCAACATTATATAATTACACAGCAGAAAGCAATTTGGGGAAATGATAATGCAGGATGAAAACAAAATGGAGTGTACAGTTAGTTTTTTAATAAAATGTTTTCACGATGCCATTAATTACAGCACTTTCTGTTATTAATGTTAAACAAATGATCACACTTAACAATAGTGTTCATTAATTTCCACACTAATCTCTAGTGAGATGTTTCAGCTACCTTCACCATGTGTCATCTAACATTAAAAGGACATACATGATCTTAGAGTTAACTTCCAGAGCCTACGAATCACTGCACTTATCAGACTTATGTCCTACAATTTGATTGCTATTGTGAGCCCATCTCCCACTGGGAGCATGCTCAGGTTGATTCGAGCATCTCGGTGCAACTTCTTGTTCAGCTTGTCAATGGCCACTGTGTCCTCATCACCGGGGCTCGGATTCAACACCTTTCCACCCCACAACACCTGCGAGACCAGAAAAAAACAAAGCTCAGACCATGAGGTGGTTAACTGCAAGAAGTCAAATATCGTTCTTGGGTGAAGGCCTTACATTGTCGATGGCGATGACGCCCCCTTTCCTCAGCAGTTGCAGAGACTTTTCGTAGTAGCTGTCATAATTGACTTTGTCTGCATCGATGAAGGCAAAGTCAAATGTTTCCGCCTGGCCGTCTGACAAGAGATCATCTGAAACAAGATGGATGCAAATCTTTTGTGATAACACTAGATGACATAATGACATTTAATTTTGATGAGTGAAATTATCAGTGCTGAATAAAAATAAATAAGCACTCCAGGTACGGAAAGGCCACGTGATCCTGATAACTTTATTGTTTAATAAACCTTATTCAAAAATTTTGAGTTACACCAATAAAAATTGATCACTCCCTTTCACATTTACATGGGCATGTTTGTGGTGAGGTAGGATCACCCATGCATCTGTTGTGGCATTGTCCCCCAGTGAGATGTTTTTGGGACAAGGTGATATTAAGTTTGTCTTCTATCCTGGATGTGAAAATACCTTGGTGTCCATCAGTCTAACGCATTATTGCTCTAGCTTTTATGACAGTTAAATGAATCATTATGATGACCTGGAAAACACACAAATCAAATTGTTTTAGTGTAGATAACTGATTAGAGGCTTCAGCTCTTTGTGAATCACCATGGAAAAGATGGACCCTGGTTTTCTACAAGATTTATCTCAGGAAAATGGTTTATGAATGAACTTTATTGTATTTACTCTGCACTGCTGCACCATTTAGTTTGATTTTGTATTTGTGTGTAGTGTCCTTGTGTTATTATTTATCAGTTTGTATGCTAACTGTAGTACGTCAGTGTGCTGTCCTCTGTCATATGTCAATTCAATTTAAAATATATATATATATATATATATATATAGGTTTTTTTTTCTCTATGATTACTGTTTGTACTGTTTTTTTGTGTGTGTCTTGTTTATTTCATACTCTGGTTTTCCCTTGTTGAATGTGCATTAAATCTAAAAGAAAAATAATAAAATAAAAAATGAAACTGAGTAGGAAAAAAAAGAAAAAAAAAAGGATGTCAGCCAAAATAAAGGGAAAAATAAAATACTCAACCGATACAAATTTAAATAAAAATTATAAATAATACAACATAAATAATACAAACAAGTTATTTGCTTACATTACATTCAGGGTCTGTTGTGTGCATATTTCTACACAGCTGAGCAGGTGATGCTGATGATTAGCACATGACGTCACCATACGTTGTCACGGTCACTCCGCCGTTTAACAGTTGATTCACGTAAAGAAAAAATAACTCCAGAAACTAAAGCTAAAATGCTAAATCACGAATATTCGAGTGTTTTCGGGAAGAATTAAGTTTTTAGTTTTTAAGGACCGCGAAGGATAAAGAGAAGAGCAGCACCCGTAACTTCCTGACGGGACAACCGTTAACGTTACCCAGGTAAGTTACCTAAACTGACGTAGCCGTTAGCTGCCGTTATCTATGCTACATTTTGGTAGCTTACCGTGTTATATGAGTGGGTAAAACAAGCTGTGCTAATTAGCATCTGGGTTTAGCAACAACGCAGCTGCTCGCACTGTTGGACCTGGCTAATTGAGGGACTTGATTTCAGCTGTCAGAGCAAGTTGACATGCTTCTACCGCTAATTGCGAGTGAAATAGTTCAAGAAAAACCATGAAACTAAACACTGAGGGTTATTTATCTTACTTGAAGTGTAGCTGAACTTTTAATTGTAGTTAAAATGAACCCTTAATCTCACCTTTGCGTCGTTTAAGGAAGTTTTGTAGTCTGTGGAAAACGCAGTTGTGGTTTGTGTTTTCCCTCCACCCGCCACAAGGGGCAATAATGAGCCCATCCCACACTTAAAAAACAAAGTTTGACAAGCTGAATCCAAATGACACCCTCTGGACTACATTTACAGTACCAGTCAAAAGTTTGGACACATTCAAGTAAATGGGAAAGTGTGTTCCAAACTTTAGACTGGTACTGTAAGTTCAGTCACAAAAAGGCTATACATGAGATTTATATCTTCGTTATCTGCAGGGACTAATGAGTAGGCACTGTTCATCAATTTACTGTATATGAACTTATAAACGTTCAACTATAGCTGTTGTAATATTCATATATATGTCATAGAAGTTGATTAGTAGTACTTCTCATCCGCTCCTGCAGATAACAAGATATAAATCCCATGTACATGTTTCAAAAAAGAAATGTTTGTAAATAAGAACAAGATTATAACTCAATATATTGGGTATTACTTACACTAGAAGACCTTTTTTTTTGTTGTTTTTCGGACAGTTTTTCAGCCCATTACACTGCCTGCCTGATAGGAGGCAATAATAAAATGCATTTTCATTCCCTCTACAGCCTATACTTATAGATATCTATTAATCATGATGTGGTTGAATATTATTTCTGGCCTACTCAATTCAAGTAGAATTTTAATGGGCCTAATTATCAATAACTATTTAACACGCTCATAAGTTTTTTCTTTTTTGGCAGTTGAAAAACCCACAACATCACATCCATATTGCAATGAATTGTGGGTTATGAAATCAGTGAAGTCTGCTGAAATCTGCACCTCAAGAGGACTCTCTGGAAGTCTGCAGGAAGTCCGCTTGAGGTCTAGACTGTAGTACTGGGGGGGGGGGGTACTTGGTCTACAATGGTGTTTGAGTGGGTGGAACATGCCAGGTGGTATCCGCATGGATACCAGAACCAAAGGTTTCCCAGCAGAACAATGCATTGGAACAAAATAATCAAAGTTATTCACGTCACCTGTCAGTGGTTTTAATGTTTTGGCTGATTGGTGTATATGATGAAAGATTTTGACCTCAAGTGGCATTTAGATGACACACTGGGTTTAGACAAAATCACATCTGGACTTTAGACTGTAGCAAATAGAAATACCATGAATCACATTGAGATGTGTTATTTCAAAAATCAAATTAAGGCACATACAAGCCCTCTGGAATGACTTTGATATTTTTTTTGTTTTATCTGTACAACTCTAAAAACTTGAGGCAGTGTCTCTAGAAAATACACCATACTGACATGGTCATGCATACTTTTTTTTTTGTTCAACTGCTAAAAACTGCATAAATGTTAATTCTTTTGCTAATGTTTTTCTCTCCATGTAACACCCTGGTACAGCAAAGGATTTATCATATAACTCATGTATGGAAGGTGCTTTAAGGTAGCGGTGGACTCAAGGTTAGGTAACAAATTCAAAACCCTCAATGCATCACTTACATTCTAACCTCATAAATATCATAACCCCCAAATTGAAAAGTTTAAAGTATGAAGAAAGCCACAGTGATGGTGGTATATAAGTTCTGTCAGACTCATTATTAAAAAATCATTTAAGTTTCATACAAGCCCTCTGGAATGACTTTTGTTAATTTTTCATTGGGAAATTGTATATCTCCTTTAAAATTTATAACAGTAAGTCAAAAAAGAGATGTATTACTGTACCTAGAGTTTTCACTGCTGGCTGGATACGTAGGTCAATTTTTTGCTCGACTCCAGCCTGTAAACAAACAAAGACAAGAATATTTTTAAAAGTAAAAGTGCAGCAGATACATTGTCTGGTGACAGATAAGAAATTATGTATTGCAGTATATCAGGATGTCTTTTGTTAATGTATTTACATGCATGACAATATTCATTCTGTTTTTTAATCAGTTTTGCAAACATGCTATTTGCAGTACCCTGGTTTTGTCTTTTTCCTGAATTAATCAGAATTAGGTATTGAGTTATCAGCGTGGTTACAGCTGACTGTAGGATTACGTATTGAACATAAGCTAAAATATATATATTTTTTAGTTGCTCAGAAATACAAGAATGTGTATGAACAAGCATGTAATCAGATTTACCATTAAATACCAGAAAATAATAACCCTGTAATGAGCAGTCTCTCTTCAAATCATTTTTAAGATGACTGGTTTTATGATTATTAAAGTAATACCTCACTCACAATGTGACCATTTGTACTTCAATTAGTCACGCAGTGTTACCTTGAAGCCCTGAAGAAAACTTATTAAACATATGGATTTATTGATTGATTGAGGACCACAATTAACAACAGCAAAACTATATCAAACCATCTGTTTACAAATTCTCACACAACTCGTACAGTATAATCCAAGTCGTATTAATCCTAAGTACTTCCCAAACACATGCATTTTTGCAAAACCTTTACTATTTAAAACTGAAAGCAAACCTTAGAAAAGCTTTATTCAAAGCCAGACTTTACCTTGTTGAACATGAGAGCTGTACAGGTCCCCAATTAATCAATAAATCAATATGTTCACTGTTTTCCATGCAGGCATGCTCATGAAGTTTTCTTCAGGAATTCAAGTTGACACTGCATCACTTTGATTTAGAAATGGTGGTTTTGTGGGTTAAATATTCCTTTAAAAGTCTTGGCAGGATTGTCCAATAGTAGTCTTTATCACACAAAATACTGTCAGACACTTAAGTCTGCTCCACATGCAGATGCACAGAGTTACATCTGTTACCTGTGGTGTATCAAAAATCCTCTGCACTGATCAGCACTTATGTAATAATGAAACAATACAGCAGTATTACACATCATACACTGAATCCCATCATACAAAGTCTTGACAAATACTTAAACATAAATATAAATAGTACCTCTTTCCAGAAAGGTTTGCCAATGTTGGTGAAGTCTTCACTGATATCACATGCCACTATGACTCCATCGTCAGGCAAAGTCAGTGCAATGTTCACAGTGTTGTAACCTGTGTACACTCCTGCAATGAGAGGGCGCTAAAATCAGCATGATGGATGACAACAGAAAGGGCAAAAAAAGTAAATCCAAATAACATTCTGGTTTTGTTCAGGCAGTGTGTTAAACTTAATTTATCAGGTTACAGTAAGGTTTCTGAAGTTATCTGATTTCTTAAATATCATACAAGAAACCTGGATTTGTAGTCGTGATAGGGAAATAGAGAAACCTGTTTGCCCCAAGTAGATTTCTCATGAAGGCTGGTTTCCTGGCCACAAAAGTGTACCTAGGTTTCTAATCAGCTTTAGACATGTGCATGTGCCTGAAAAAGACTTCAGACAGGGGAAGTATAGGTGTGACTTGTTATTATAGATCCTGCTACTTGTCTTGGAAAAGCAGTAGGACTGTGCTGGTGTGATTGGCTATTACTCGCCAGGTTGACGTGTCAAGGTTGGAAGTGGTTAGGGTTAGAGCAGAGGGGTCATGGTCTGCTAAGAAAAGTGGTAGCACTGCTGTGACAGCACTGCAGCGCAATGAAAGGAGAGGTCATTACACTATGTTGTGTCCTTGTCTTTAAGATAAGGCAAAAATACATTACAAAATGTAATGTGACATCTTGTGGTTGGTTGGTTGATTGGATGGACATCCTTCCTCTGTGCATGTAAAGTTACTTGTGTGGCTGAACAAGTTCGATTGTTGAATCTTAATCACGACGTGTACATGCTTCAGAGACTAGATGTGATGGCCCTTACCAATCTCTAATGCTTTCTTGGTTTTGATGAGTTTTGCAAGATTGGCCATGAACTGCGACTGCTCACAGGAGACCATCATGAAGTTCATGGACTCTTCCATTGTCCTCTGAAAGTAATGAGCGGAAACCAGTTGCATTAGATTCACAAATTACACCCTGAAATATGATTGCATCTTATGACATAGAGTGCTGAATTATGCCAGAGCACATCTGTATTCCAGACAGAGAGACGTGCTTACCAGTCTGAGTTTCTTCAGGACCGGATGTTCCCTCAAAGAGTGATTGACGACATATTGAATGAGTGGGTTGTTTTTTCCCCCGCTGTGACTTTTGAAGGTGTTCATTCTGAGAAATCTCTTTTTCCCTGAGGGCAAACATGATAAACCAGGAAACAATTATAAGAATGTTACAATCGTTAACATCATGCCATTCGACCTACCATCCAGCTTAGAGGTCTTACAGGAAACTGAGGTCTTGTCTAGTTAATGTACAGTGGTTATTTGATTTAGATTAGATCTAACTTAAATGATCTCAGAGGGGAAATGTAATTATTGTGCCAGCAGCAACAGATCCAGTTAAAGACACGAAGACTGGAAATTGTAAGACAATATAGCTTTATGTCTTGAGGAAAATACAATGCATCAGTCTAGTCTAACACATTCTGAGTATGTCCGTGTCCCTATGCTTTCACTGCCTGGTCATCACTGGATATTTAAGTTTTTCAGAGGCATTGCAGCTTTGTATTTACCATTACAAGAATCAACAGAAGCTGAAAGGACAGTGAATAAGTAATAATGATTTCGTACTGTGCAGCGCTGTACAGGGTTTTTATTTTACACAACTCTGTAAACTTCAGGCAGTGTCTCTGGAAGTCACACCACACTGTATGAAGTGAAAAATAGGATTGATATGATCATGCATACTTGTTTTAGTTCA